TAAGCATGGGTCTTAAAAGAACTTGATTGGAAACCTCTGGTGTATTTACTTTTTGAATTAGAGTAAGGTATGTCAATACATACATAGTGAACTTTTTTATTGTATCTTCCAAAATGAGCTTTTCAGATACGATATGCTAATAATAAATATAAATGTTAAATAAATATATATTAATAAATAATGTAATCCTTTAAATGCTAAAAATATTAATTTATAAATTTAAATATTGTATATAATCCTAAAAACCTTGCATATCAAAATTGGCACGCTGAGAATAATGTATTAATAAGTATGTATTCATTTGAATGCAATGCCCTTCATCATCATCAATATCATCATCATCATCATCATCATCATCCCATTTCGCCTTAGTGACGAAAGGGCTGAAACAAGGGCGTGATATTCTGATATTTTCAGTTTAATGTGGCGGACACTGTTTCTGATTCCTTTGGGTTCGATCAGACTTTTGTTTCATCTATCGACTGAAATAGAGTTCGACCACAACCATTATATGAATTCAATTTAGGCCCCGTCCACACGTGTCCGCAAATTTTTGTGTCCGTATCCGCAAATTTTACRAAAACGGATACGTGTGGACGGTGAAAACGATTCGAATACGCTGCGTGTGGACGCAAACATTTTCGTATACAAAAATGTCCGAACACGTGTGGACGGGGCCTTAAAATCTATCAGCAAAACAGATTTTGAATAACCTATCTTAGCTACTAAGATTTTTAAGATGAAAGCTTTTTTTAGTTGTCTTCATGACAACCACAGGAAACCCACTCCTATAATCCTTCTTTTGTTTACGAACTAATTATCGTTAAGACCACAACATTGACACTATGGAACAATACCAGGTTACATCATGTGGATTTTAGCGTTATATCACCGTTCTATTCAATATCATCTAACACCTAAGATTTAGTTATCGTGCTAAATAGTTAGTTGTAAAAGTAGGCACATCTTTTTCTCAAAAATTGAGCTAAAAACATAAGTACAAGCAACCCGAAGGCTTCTTGCATCTTTTATACTTTGCTTGAGACGACTGTACACCTTTATATTCATGACTAGGTTCATAACAACATTAACCAATCAAATGTGCTCTAGATTTCCGGGCTACTATCATTGTAAATAATGCATAAATAATTCATTAATAAGATCTGTGGATTTGAGACCAGATGGTTTTAGGACTTCAACCTTCTTAAATGAAACTCTGGTTATGACTATTGAATCTAAAGCAAAGGGTTTTGCATTGGTTTTTGAGTCATTCGTGGCCGCATACGGCAGATCTACTACGGCGTCAAATGGAATGTTTTTAGCATTTTGACAGCTTGTCAAGTGTCGGTACTCGAGCCTGGCGCTTTAATTCTATAACCTCGTGTAATTTTGCTCATAAAGTTCTGCAAACTTACTTAATTCCAAAACGATCTGCAAAAAAAATCACAATAGGCGACGTAATGGGGTATTCTGCCTTTAACACGAAATTGTAGATGGATTTTAAACAAATATTGCTCGAATGTAAAAAAGGTAAGACACGGTTCTGTAAAATAAAATTTATAAATAGTCATAAATTGGAGGTAGTTATTTATATATCAATTAATACTACAACATAGATTTAACTTTTATACAGATTCAATGAATCATTCGTTACTTTCCATCTCAGATAATTCTGTAAGCTCGAAAATTGCTTTAGCAAATGTTTATTACATTCATATTAATRTATAAATCATTGTTTTTGAATATTTAATAATAGATTTATTTTATTACGAGTTTTAATACTAATATTAGAGTTCCTCTTTGATCAACCTGAAGTACGAAATACTAAAAAATGTGATATCAAAGATCATCAGTTTTTTAAAGAAATTTGAACATAAAATATTTAAACATTTATTGAAAAACCAAACCCAATCTTAGATCTATTTGAATATTAAGTATTTATTGCTCAGTGATCCGTTTGTTTGATTTTGGAAATTCTGCAGAATTGTTTTATTTGACTTTACACTTTTTGTTCGAAAGCACAAACAAATGCAAAGAGCAAAGAAAATCTTCGTAGTAGTGCGATGCAAACTGCATTCAATTTTAAAGTCTTGAGTTTTCAGCTCTTAGACTTCAAAACATCGATCTATTGATAAATAAGCAATATTTATACATTTTTTGTCAGTGTACCAAGCATTTTGCACTCTCGCTAATCATTGCAATTGGGAAATATTTTAAGATAATTTCTTCTTCTTTGGCGTCCAGTAATAGTTTTTTTTTCAAGGATTTACATTAGCAAGTATAACATGTTTATTATTGTTTGTGGGGTTATGCAGGCTTACAGGCTGTATGTTATTGGCGTGCTTTCGTCCTAAAATCCTTGCATCGTTAATGAACCGTGCTTGGACCGTGCTTGGACCAATATATAATATATCATAGCTGACCAGAAGTAATATATGCTAACTTGCTCATTAACTTTGCTTGATTGGATCAATCAATTTTGTTAGTTACTTTGTTTTTTCTTTTACTTAGAAGTCAAAATATAAAGAACGGTTTGCATTGTAGACCTATCAGTAGAGTATTCGATAGGAGTTGTTGTGGGTTTATYGTAGTATGGTTAGGTGGATGGCTTGTTTTGGCTGAGCATCAGTCAAGTGTACCCGATGCTAGACATAAGCCTAATGATGGTGATGGTGGTAGTGGTAGTATAGTGGTAGTGGCATTGACAGTGGCAGTGGCAGTGGCAGTGGCAGTGGCAGTGGTAGTG